AACTCAGATGTCCGTCGACTAATGAATGCATAAAAATGTGCTGTATCCATACAGAAGAATATTGTCTGGCCATAAAAAGGAGGGAATTACTAGCACATTCCACAATGTGGACGAACCTTGACCACATTATGACAAGTGAAAGAAGCTAGTCATAAAAGACCACAATTTGTATGGGTCCATTTATACGAAATGGAACAAGAATACAGAATAGAAAAGGCTACAAAGAAAGAGTGAATTAGTGCTCGCCTTGCCTGAGGGGAGTGTTGGGGGACCCTGGGGATGGGGCAATGACTGTCAGAGGGCACGAGGTTTCTTTGCAGATGATGAAAATGTCCTAAAATTAATTTTAGTGGTGGTTATACATCTCTGTATACACTAAAAGCCATCAAACTGTACAATTTAAATGGGTGATTTGTATGTGAATTACGTTTTAATAAAGCTGTTACTTTAAAAAACCAACAATACTACACATTAGTATTACTTGATTCCCAAATAAAAGGGCTTTCTAAATGAGAGTATGCAAGTAAATATTGTTCTTCTTTGACATCTCATTGAATACAAGTGGTATACATGAAATAGAGGCATGCCAGTTATTTACTAACCTGTAATAAAAGTGCAAAAATTAGCAAGACCACCAACACTAACATAATGCTTTATGGAGTACAAAGCACTTGCATATATGGTCCTATAGCCAACAAATGACACACCCTCCTTGATTTCAAATACAGAAATACCATATAAGCAAAAGGAAGGTTGAGAACTCTCAGGACATGCTCCGCAATTCACACAAAATCTTGAAGAAACACTTGAAAAGACAGCAACGGTTTGACCTCTTGTGGGGAGTGAGTGGTGACCTTCATTAGGAGAGGCCGAGACCTCCTTGCTGGATGGACGGACGCCTACCCGCCTGCTGTGGCCAGGAAGGCAGCAGAACCTGCCCAGTGCCTGCCCGAGACTGCGAACCAATGACAGCGTAGCCGCTGGGGTGGGGAATCCCACAGCCCCCACGAGGCTGGACAACCCCTAATCTTCACTTCTCCCCACCTCAACTGCCCACCTGGCAATCACACCTGAAACAGGCGGCCCTCTGGTAAGAATAATGCTTGGAAAGGGGGTCCTAGGAAATTCTCTATAGTCAAAGGGACACTGTGGCAAGTGCGCAGTAGTGACTGTCACCATATTCTACACGATCAGCAGCTTCCTCACCTCCAACCCCTAAATTACCCATAAGAACAGAACCGAGAGTCCCTCTGCTTCAGCAGATATTAGTAGCTCAAATATAACATGTAGACATGAAAAGCAAAGCTCTCAGAAGACTGTAAGAACCAGGAAAGACAGAAAAATGAAGGACTCTATACCAAAGAAAGTCAAATATAATGGAAGAGGCGGAGTACTGTTTAAAGGAACTATAACAAATGGCTGCAGAAAGATAAGGAAGGGTATTAGAAACACCAAGCATCCACTAATAGTTATGAAGAAACTGCAGGTACTAACAACAAAATACGTAGTTGTTGATTCAAAGTCAATCAATGGGTTGCACAGCAGAAAGGTGCACTCTAAGGAGAAAATCAGCGTGCCGAAAGGCCAGGCGGAGAAAAGTTCCCAGAGGCATCAGGAAGAGATAAGCCCTTAGAAGCAGCGAGAGAACAGTTAACAAATGCAGACGACTAAAGAAGTGTCAAGAGTATCTATTAGGATACCAGAAAGAGAGAGAATAAAGAAATACTTAAAGAAAGAGTAACCAAAAGTTAGCCAGAATTTTACACAACATAGGTCCACAGACTTAAAGGGTGCACAGAGGGCCAAATAGGAGAATACATACATATCAGAGAGAAATCTAGAAACATTGAAAAATGAGAAAATTCTGAAAGATGCAAAAAAAGAGACAATTTACAAAATGCAGAATAAACTGACATCAGACTTGAGACAACGGTGTACTATATTTAAAGTTTTGAAGAGGAGATATTTGAAACTGAATTCATATCTAACTAACCTGTTATTTACATGTGAGGACAAAATATATTGGTAAGCATTAAAGGTTTCAAAGAATATGCCACATAAAATTTCTCTTTGAAAAAAATCTCATGGAGGATTTACTCTAGTAAAAAATAAAACAAATCCATGTGCAAAAACCTAGATATAGAAAGTAAGGAGAGTAAGTTCATCGTTATTTAAACATGCCATAATAAAGAAAAAATGCTCTCTATAATACCTATATCAATAATTCCAAGCACTTAGCATGAGGTCGGAGGGACAGTGGGAGTTGAAAGCATGCTCAATATACATTTTGTTGAGATGAGCGAGGCAGGGATGTGCAATAATAAGTTTTAGACATTGATAGGGAAAAATGAGCATCATTATGAATCTTGAGAAGGAGTGACAAAGAGAAACACAGAAATAGAATGTGAAAAACTCAGTTCAGTAGAAGGAAATCAATTTACCCCAAAGAAGCTGTGTAAAAGGACCAAAAAGAAGCAAGGCTAGTCACAACAACAACAAAACACACACAATGGAGTAGCTAAAATAAGCCTTGGTGGAACAGTAATTGTTGTCAATGTAAATTGATCACCAATCAAAAGACAGACTCACAGAGTGACTGAGAGAATAAAAAGCAACCAGTCTGTTGTACAAAGAATAAGTGTAAAACAAAAAGAAAAGAAGATGGAAAGAAAGGAATAAAATAAGGACTAGCAGGCAACTATGAACTAAAGGAAGGTGAGGTAGGCAATTTTATACTCTAAAAAGATAAAATTTAAGGTTAAGAACCATCACAATGATTAAAGAAGGAAATACAATTTGGAAAAAATAAAACAAAGTGATAGAATGAGTATGAGCAAATATACACCTGAAATGCATCCTTGAACACTATCAAGCAGCAATTGACAAGCAATGGGGACACACCTGTGCAGGTAACCACATTTGTTCCTTAGGCTGCTGAGTTGTGTTTGTTCTGTTTTTTTTTTTTTTTTTTGCATTTATCTTTAGATAGAGTGGGAGGGAGAGAGGAAAGAAGAGCCTGAGAGACACATCGAGTGGCTGCCACCCACACAACCCCAACCAGGGCCGGGGACAAACTGCAATCGTGGTACGTGCCCTTAGCGGGAACCAAACTCGGGACTCTCTGGACCGCAGGCTGACGCTCTAACTGCTGAGCCAAACCGACCAGGGAAGGCTGGTGAGTTTTCTAGTTCTCTAATACCTTCTGTTGTTCCTCCTTGGCCTGTGTGTATATATTGTTTACTTTTATTTTTCTCATTACTTGCATTTTAGCAGTATTTAAGAATGTTTTAAACAGATAAGGGAGAAAAAGGAAGTTGTATTCAAATAGTTCAGATTTTGTTCAGTGGTTCTCAACCTGTGGGTCGCGACCCCTTGGGGGGTAGAATGACCCTTTCACAGGGGTCGCCTAAGACATAACAGTAGCAAAATTAGTTATGAAGTAGCAACAAAAATAATTTTATGGTTGGGGGTCACCACAACATGACGAGCTGTATTAAAGGGTCGCGGCGCCCTGGCTGGTTTGGCTCAGCGGTTAGAGCATCCGCCTGCGGTCCGGTTCCCGCTAAGGGCATGTACCTCGGTTGCAGTTTGTCCCCGGCCCTGGTTGGTCGTGCGGGTGGCAGCCACTCGATGTGTCCCTTTCACATCGATGTTTCCCTCTCTCTCTCTTTCTTCCTCTCTCTCCCTCCCACTCTACCTGAACAAAAAATGAAAAAATGTCCTCGGGTGAGGATTAAAAAAAAAAAAAAAAAAGGGTCGCGGCATTAGGAAGGTTGGGAACCACTGTGTTAAATGATTTTCACTAAGTTATTTGAAAAGGGGGCCAAAATGAAATTAAAGCACTTACTGTAACTTCCATTTAACAGTTCTGCCCTCTCTTCTCATGTCTCCCCCAGGGATGGGAGACATATACGTAAACTCCCTAGCGTTCTACGCTTCCTTGGCAACCTGTGAGCTACTGTAGTAAAAAAATCAATATAGAAGCTAGAAAACATTCATAGGGAAATATTCTTTAACTACCGGCCTTTGTATAGTGCCCGTGAGGTCTGATTCACTTTTTGTTTTTGTTTTCAGAATAACCAAAAATGCTATACAGACTCAATTATATGTGTACCTAATTTTGGAAGAAGTCCATTTTTGTATTCCTTGCTCTGGCTGAAGAAAAGCAAAATATCAAAATAGCAACATGCAATTAGTTACATGAGGGCTTTTTTTTATCAAAGGGAATAAAATATTTCCGCTCTACATTGTTTCTTAATTTTTCTACTCAATCATCTTACTATATACAAAATATAAATAAAAAAACAATAAACATACAAGCAAATTACTATGTCTCAAAATACTATGCCTCAAAATGCTTTGATTAGTCACTAATTATAATCTGTGGATTTTTCTTCTTTGGGGATTATTATTTTTAAAAACCATTTTGTGCATTACTTCAGGATTCTAATACCACATTTACTTGCACATAATTTCTGTCTCACCATGTTCTATTTCTGCATTTGCAAAAAGGAATATACTAATACCGTCATTACCGCAGATAAAAAGACTCACTGTATTCTACAATTCTCAATATTCAAAAATGAAACTATGTAATTAAAATGCACCTCATTTCCACCCACCTTTTATAGTCCATTTTGTTAATATAGATGTGAACTGATAATTAAGGGGCACTGGGCACTCCAAGGACTACATATAGGCGCTTGGTTCCTTGCATCATATCTATGTCTTAAATTCCTCCAGTTCCTGTCTGCCGGGGAAAGGCTGCCCGTGTGCAGTCTGTCACTCTCGCCTAGGCTAATAGATTCTCCAGTGGCTTTTGTTGCAGCTCATGTCATACTATTCAAACTGTGTGCCTTGAAAATGGCATCATACATGTAGCTGGATCTTGTCAACTCCAGATAATCAGACTCCGTTTGGCTTCACAAGTAGATGCAGATTAGAGAAGCAATATAAATATGCAAATCACAGCAGTCCACTTTCAGCACCACTGTTCCTACCTCCAAAGGCCCTCGGAGAAAGTCTGCTTGTTCGGCCCCTACTTCCAGGGCTACGTCCACAGAAGCAAAGGGACGGCTGGCCATCTGCTGTCGTTCTCGAAGCAGTTGCTGGGGAGAGTTAAAAATTATTTGTTTCAGAATAGGTTTAAGCCACATTAGATGCAACAATATCTGGCTCTATTTTTACCAAATGACATTCAAATTTAGAAATCGTCTATTACACATACCCGTATCTAGAGGACTAAAAATGAAGATTGTTTTCTTGCCATGGCCTGGGCTACATTGCCAGAGAGGCTTTAGACATATGGTGCTCGCGGAGAACTTCTCCCTGACCTCCATCCCACAGGTCTAATGAGATGCGCAAAAGCATTTTGAAAACTTCAGGTGAGAGGTGCTAGTTGAGGAAGAAATGCTATTATGATAATGACTATGCCAAGTTTTCCCACTCTAACTCGTGTTTTTCTCTTAGCTGAAAGCAAACAACAGTATAAATGTTCGAGAAAAGTTAATGAAAAGTTGCCAAAATGCTTTAATAGAGATGAAAGGAACATCTGCCTTCCAAGACTAAGTCCTGTAGGTCAGCAGGATCCCCTGTCAGTTGCTAAGGAAGCAGCAGTTGTTACTGGCGGCACTTAGAACTATTCAAAGCCTCTATGTTCATTATTTAAAATGAGGAATGATTATTACATTGTAGAAATTTTGTGCCAGGGCTTCACCCCTAGATATTTGTTTCTTTTTCCTTGTGCCTATTCTGGGCTTTGGCCAAGTTAACGCCATAAACAAGCAAGTCCCCACCAACTTCCGAGCTAATTCAATTTCTGCCTTTCCTTGTAATTACAATATTCATGAAGTCATGATAAGAAAAAATTGATGACCAGCACTAGATATTGCAAATCTTGCCCTTCTCATTCTATACAGCTAGAAAAATTATTATTAAATATTAAGAGTGGATGAGCGATGCAATTAAATATCCTTTTAAATGGGAAAATAATTGTATCATTGAAGAAAGGCAAAATCCTTGAATACAATGAATGGCTTCATTATTCACTGAGGTTTTTTAAATTCAATGGCATTAACTTAAAACGTTAACAACTGGTCTTTGAATATACATGTATATAACACTGAGATGCATTGTTCATAAAGTTCCCTTTTAGATGATGAAGGAACACCAGCCAACACCCGATGACAGTTCATTATTTAGCATTTTGTTCTAACCCTTGTGACACAGCAGTGACGCTGTCCATGAAGTATGCGGCTAACCTATAATTTAAGGCCTGGCTTTGTTATTTTTAAAATGAGAGCATCCACGTGCCAACACGGGAGAGGAACAATACAACTATTATGGGGTATGAGTTTTTCTTAAAATAAATGTGTATTTATGAAGATGTAATAAAACATTTAAAGTAAACATCAATGTGATCTAAACCACCAAATTATTTGCTTTAATATACACTCAAAATTATATTATTAAAAATACAGCTGCTAGAAAGTGGGATATTGTTTACACCTCTCTCAACAGGAGTAGCCAACTGATCTGAATGCTGCATCCATGCAAAATGCAAACATAATGTTATTTCAAACGCCAAGTGACACCAAGTATTGAGAACACCATGCTCTTTGTCTCTGGTAAACACACACAGCTACACCAACACACACACACACACACACACACACACACACAAAGTTTCCTATAGTAATATGCAAATGGCCTTGAGAAAACTGTAAATTATAGTTTACATTTGAACACAATTTTCTAACTCTAGTATTAAAAAGCTTCTTTATTAATACTAGTTGTCCTCAGCTTACAAATGGTAGGCCCTATAATTACATGATTTTTAACAAAAAGAACAACTCCTGTTCCTCATCTTACCTTTCCCCAACATCTAAAAGGTCTACAAAATATAATTAATGAATAGTCGATGTCACAGACTATAATAGAAATTTGTAGTGAATTTGCCAAATTCACTATCTTTGACAAAGAATAGAGTTTTCTGGAATATAATTTAATATATTATCGTGATGCCCTCAACATTCATAATAAAGAAAAATCAGTGACAGTCATATTTTGTGTTCATCATTTTTTTATTAGTAAATACAAAAATAAAAGATCACTTTATAAGAATTGAATGCCTAGTATAGTACTCTTTGCAAAGAAGAAAAAAGAACAACAACAACAACAACAACAATGTTCTTGCCCAGGACCTAACATTACACTTTGTAAGCAAGACATGGTAAATAAAAATAATTAGGGTGGAAGGAACACAGACAGGGAACTAGCTGAATGAATTTACTCCAGGGTCCTCAGCAGAGGGCTGGTTCAAGGTCTGTGGCCGACATACTGCGTTTCTGACTTTGGAAAATTAATGCAAATGTTCTGACTGTGAAACTCAGGATGGGTAAATCACTTTCTCCTAAAACCCTCTTGTTTTGAGGTGATGGGCCTAAAATAATATAGTGGGAGAATCTTATTTGCTACTAGCTTCTGACCCTCAGTATCTTCAATAATTGTTCTCCCTCTTGCCGGTTAGTCTCTAAATGTGTCACTTCCCAATTCCTGCCCCCTCTATATCGAAACAAAGCAGAGGTAAACAGCAGGCTTACAACTTAAAATTTGTCAAAATTTTGTATAAATACTGACAGACGATATAGATGCATTTGATTTAGAAAGCCCTGTGTCTCAATACCAGTTTTTATACTTATTAGCTGTTTCAGCTTAACCAACTTATTGAGACGTCTCTAAGCCTCAGTTTTTCCCATCTGTGAAGTGGGGATATTAACACTGCCAACACCTCTACCTCCACCTCCACCTCAGAGGGTTGTTTTGAGTCCCAGTTTCTCCACCCGCTACCTACTAGACCACAACCAAATTACCTTTTAGGCCTTTCTAATGCCTAGTTTCTGTTTCTAAAAAGGAAATAACAATAATGTAAGGTTGGGACTAAAGTGAAAATGCAGTTGGATGCTGGGCACAGAGGCTGGCACACTGTGAGCACTCAGTAACTGTTCACTGGCACAACTGCCAGGCCAATTTCAAGTACCCGTTTGGTCGTTCGAGAGGGCACACTCATCACCGCAGGCCCAGTCCCTTCAGCACTGGTGACACATTCTGCTCCACTAGTTTCCCTTCTAACAAATGCTGCAGACTCATGTGACAGTTGGAAAATGTCGTAATTGTGGTGAGATACATTTAGATTTGGAACTCCTTCTGCCAATTGCAACTAACAATGATGAAAACCCAACCTGAATATTAGGAGAATATGGACTACCTTCTTAAGAACTTTCAAAAATAATTTATTTTGTGATTATGATTTTTACATAAAAAGAAGTCTACCGTTTTGTACATCCATAGGAAGCCATATAACAGATGATCTGTTTTATAACTGATTTCCTATTGCCAATTATTTGACAGAAAAATAATGCCATGAGAGCAAATTGATCATAATACAATAGATTATAATCATGCTGCCATAAACACTGCTATAAACAAAAATTAAAAATTAAAGAGATGTTCTTAGTATAATGTTTGTTGCCCATAACTGTTTTACTATTCAAATCTCTTACAAATCACAAAATTAAAAATAATATAAAAACTTATGGTTAAGTATGGCAACCAAGAATGCTCATTAATTCTATCGTGTGTGTGTGTGTGTGATAATTTTTCCACTCAATAGTGGATTAAAGAATAAAACTCTGGTCCAGCCAGTGTGGCTCAGTGGTTGAGCATCGACTCATGCATCAAGAGGTCACCGGTTCGATTCCTGGTCAGGGTACACGGCCAGGTTGTGAGCCCAATCCCCAGTGGAAGGCATGTAGGAGGCGGCCAATCGATGTTCTCTCTCATCGATGTTTCTCTCTCTCTCTCCCTCTCACTTCCTCTGTCTCTAAAATCAATAAAGAAAAAAAAATAAAAATAAAACTGTGTATTATCTGAATGTGAGTGAAGACAAATTATGAAAAAAATGATATTATGAATTTGCCTTTAAAACTATTATACATCCTTTATTATTTTAGAATTTATGTCTTACCCTCCAAAGTCAATGGATATTAATTTTTTTTTCAGGATGGGACAACTTGGTGGACCTATATTTCAAATCAATATCAAGTTTCATATGGCTCCTCATCCACTTTATTGCAATACTGAGAATATTATGATAAAAGTCACCATAAAATCATCATAATATACTTATATTGTTAGTAAAAGTTATATTCCTAAGTTTTTGGAAAGGTATAAAAGGAGCAATCAAAATGATTTATTATTACTCTCAAGTTTACACTACAAAATGAACAAAGGGTATTTATATCACTAACACAAACACATCGAACAGAGTGATATAAGTAACAATCAGTTTTGTTCTTCTGGTGCCAGGATTGTGTGAGAAGCCAGGGAAGTGGAGATGTGTCTTAGTGTTATTTAATTAGGAGAGTGTGGCATTCCATCATTTCATGGGACGACATCTGCAAGGCACAGTCCTCAAGCTCTTCTTCAGAATTTTGGGAACCTTCTGAGTCTAGTCTTCCAGTCTGAGTCAGCTTTTAGATAACGGAGTCCGCACCTTATGGGGGTGCCTTGTCATAACAACTTTGTTTAGGTTATTTCAATGACTTTCTTCCAGGTGATGTTTCAGGGCCCTGACAGACCTGGGCAAGGTAAATTGAAAACCATCTGGAGAGGATTCACTATTCGAGATGCCTTTAAGAACATCTGTGACTCCTGGGAGGAATGTCAACATTAAGAAGAGTTTGGAAGAACTGTCATGGAGGACGTTGAGGGGATGAAGACGTCAGTGGAGGAAGTAACTGGAGATGTGGTGGAAACAGCAAGAGAACTGGATAGAATTGGAGCCTGAAGAAGGGACTGAATTGTTGAAATCCCACGTTGGAACCTTAACAGATGAAGAGCTGTTTCTTATAAATGAGTGAGGAGGTGGTCTCTTGAGATGGAATAGACTCCCGGTAAGGTATTGAGAAGATGGTTGAAATTACAACAAAGAATTTAGAATCGTACATAAACTTAGTTGATAAAGCCATGGCAAGCTTTAAAGGGACTGACTCCACTTTTCAAAAAGTTCTATTGTGGATAAAATGCCATCAAACAGCATCACCTGCTA